CCTCGGCTGTATATAACAAACGTACAGCCTCGCCACAAATAGTGTCATTTTTACTCCTAATAAAACAATATACAATTTTTTTGGCTTTGAAGTTGTTATTATTTTGCGAATAAAAACCAATATGTGATACTCAGTAAGGCTGTGCACTACTTAAACATGCAACATTTTTTTTACATTCTGTTTTATGTTTTTTTTTTCATTTAGACATAAGAGTATAAAATATTTTACATTGACATTCAAAGAATTACATTTTCATACATCCGGTTAAACATAGAGTGGGTTTTTTATAGCCACATACGGTACTTTCTAGAAAATGTTGATGTAAACGTTAATCCGTATTATGTAATGACCGCTAGTCCAAGTATAGTCAATTCTTAATTATTTGTTATATTTGACAAGCCTACATACCTATTTGTTATACGGTATAAACCAGAATAGGTGTATCACTTGTTGATATATTATAAATAAGGATTAACATACCGTAAATTGTAATAGATATAACATTTTTATTATCTGTTATTTAATATTAATGAAGAATTATGCAATTAAATTTATTTCTTCTATGCTTTTAGTTATCTCTCTATATTATTTTTATTTCAATAATTTTACTGCCACTTCTTTGCAGAAAACTCAGCGAAGAAAAGTTTGTTGTTTTTTTCTTGTCGATCTGGTGGTACTTCCAATTATGGTGTAGCCTCCCTCACATATTTATATACTCTCTTTATAGTTCGGCCCATTTTTTTTCTATTGTTGGCTATGCTGCTCCCTGCTAATTTCCTAATATTATGGTCCCATCTCAGGTTCGGTCTTTTTCTAGGTCTCTTAATTCCTCGTGGATACCATGCTGTAATTTTTCTGTCTGTTGTCCGTTCTTTTTTCCAGGTGTCCTGCGCATTGCCATTTGAGTGATTTGACTCTGTGGATGACATCTATTACTCTTAGTCTTTTGTCGTAACCACTCTATTCTTTTACGGTCTCCCCTGATCATTCCCAGCATATTTCGTTCCATTGAGCGTTGAGCGACTTGCAGTTTCCTTATGATGCCCGTTTTAAGTGTCCAGGTTTTCTTCTTTAGATAGAGTGGCATTCTAGACTTAAATATGATTGAGTTTCTTCCATAAATACTCCATGCTAACTTAATTATTCTGTTGATTTCTGGTAGTATACATCCCGAGCTGTGTATTATTTGTTCCAAATACCTATACGTATTCTTCTACTATTTCCAGTGTTGTGTTATTTAGTAGAATGCCTTTTCTTTCCACTAATTCGTTGAACCACTTTAATTCGTTACCACTAATTTGTAAACTCATCTGTCATTCTCAAGTTGGTATCTAAATAATAATATGCGCGTATTAGTACTAGACATTACGCTATTTAGTGAGTTTCTCTGCACATTTTTATAACAGATCTTCATTTAATGGACTTTCATTTCATTAGCAGACAATAACTGGGTTTTCTCCCATTGTTTGCTATTGTTCCACATAATACAGTTAAACGTTATACTTTAAGATTGCTAAGTGGTCTATTAGGGACACAGCGAGAGTCACAAATATTTTCTGATGCGTTTTTACTGTTAATAAAGGAGGTTAATAACATTTGTTGAAATACTAACATAGACGGTGTTAGTTCAATATCGTTAAATAACATACAAATGTTATTTTTTCGGTCTGTTCTAACATTTGTATAATAATGTATATGTGTAATGTATATAATATAACGTATTGTTCTTAATTCATGTTTGTTATTCTGTTTAAATTAGTTAGGGCAGGTAACGGCAAATTATAGTAAAACAATTTAACAAATAATGACAAAATGTTTTTACAATCTATTTATTTCAACGTGTTAACATTTCGCAAAAATGCAGTTAATTTTTTGCGAACAAACTAATTATTTAAGTAAGGTGTTTTTTTTATATTTTTCTATCCTATCTCCTTTTTTCTTAAGGCGAAAAACCTGGCTGAATTAAATATAATATGATCGAAAAACTGGCGTCAGCGATTGCTATGAAATGAAGATCGCTCTCATTTTTTATATAAAATTATATGGGGAATGTCATCGATGTTCATTTCCAAGCCAACTGGACATCGTTTTTTTTTTTGAACATACGGTATACCGGGTGCATATTAAAAGTGGCTCACACCTATAACTTTTTTATTTTTTTCAGATATAAAAACGAGATTTGGTATGTTAGTATATGACATAAATTAGGATTGATTGATGTATTCAATTCTTTTCGACCACTTTCTGTTTCATCGGAAATGACTACAACTTTTGATTTTTAAATGACATCCTCAGTATTTTTTTTACATAATTTGATAGAAAATAACACTCCGAATAGAATGACATATCATATGCCAACTTTTGACGTTTTCGCTTAAAACAAAATTGTATTTTAAATTTCAATTTGGAGTGCCATTATGCTGTATTAAAAACACTAATTTTTAGTCAAGGAGCCTTTGAAAAATTTGGTTTGATCATCTAATGTTTTTAGTGTCTTGTCCTAGCCGGTTAAAAGATGCTCAAATTGTATTTTTAATCATATCTCAATTTTTTAAATGGAACGACGGTGGCTCATTAGCATGTTTAGAAAAAGCATTTGTTTGCGAATAATTTTTTACTTAGGTATTTTTACACTTGGTATATTTCTAGTTAAATTTTCGTTATGAACCGCATGTTGCCATTTCAAATAAACCATATTCGAAAATGTCAAAAGTTGACATATGATATGTCATTCTATTCAGAGTGTCATTTTCTATCGAATAAAAGTAACAAAGTACGGAGGGTGCCATTTAATAATCAAAAGTTGTTGACATTTCCGGTGAAACAGGAAGTGACCGAAAATAATAGAATACGCCTATCAATCCTAATTTATGTCCATATACTAACATACAAATCTCGTTGTAATGTGAAGAAATAAATTATAGGGGTGAGTCACTTTTGAGACGCACCCTGTATATTATGTTTAGACACCGTTTTCTCTACCACTTAATAGTTTCATTTTGAATAATTTAGATGCAAATATTCCTAAACAACTTGAAACAAATTGGGCCAGTTATGACATAGTACGACGATTTGTCGTTATGTCAGACAATTTTTCATATAAATTACATACCACATGATTTTCAAAATACTTTATTTTAAAAATATATAAAAAACACTACAAAATTGATAAACTTTTTTACTACAAAACCGACAGCCTCTTTCAAAAGTAAGTTAAGGTTTTACTTAGTTACACCATCGCAACTGACTTATCAACTGACAATCTTATCAAGGGAAAAATCTAGGTATGCTCAAAAATCAAAAAATATAATTTTAAAATAATTTTAAACATAATTTGGTGTGAAATTTATATTACGAATACCGAATACCACAATTTCTGATTCATGATTATTTTTAGAAAATTATAATTTTCAAAATATTATTAAGCTCGAAAAAAATTCCGGAAATAGTTTAACCTCTTGTGGTATTACTAGTGAGAACTTCTTTTGTTTAATTGTTTAGAATTACAAGTAAATGCTATATTTAAAGTTAAATTTTTCTTTCACATCTGTATTTATTGATTCAAAACATACATGAATGGAAACAGATTGAGTAAAATTTGTGTAAATCAATAACAAAGCACAAAATTAAATTAGTTAACTATGTTAACAGTTTTGTATCCATTCTAGAAAATTGTTACAATTCAAAGAAAAACGGATATGGAGCTTTTTAGAACGGTAGATCATCCTTTCGTTTCGTTGTTCCACTTTGATTCTATAGAAATTTTCGTTATACTAGTATATAAGCAGTGTTATACATTTTGTGTGCAAATATCCGTCCTAAATCTTATATGGTCAACTGAATAATTTATAATAGAACACATCTTGGTAGTGGCTAATGCTTTTACTAAGAAGTTACTACATGTATACACAGAATATTCAAATATGGATAATGGGAATACAAGAATAAGTTTATTTAAATTGACAATATTTTTTCAAAGAGAATAGAAGCCTAGTTCTTTCCAAGGTGTGTCAGAGCAAACACATTTAAAATTATTGAGTAAAAAAAATACAAGATATTTTTAATGTGTTAACTTTATGCGCGCTAAGAGTAAAAATTTAAGGCGGTGACACGACACGAGACACGATACATGGGAGGAAAAGTGGCAAGTCGCAAAACGGCTTAGAAAAAAGTTGAGATAGGTCTTTGGAGCGTTGCAACTCGGGCCCTATGTGAACCAGGGGGGCTGAAACTCGGAATGTGCATTTTCGTGATATTTTGACGTTTCGTGCACTATGAATCAAATCAAAATATCGTCCATTTTAAATAAAATCTGGTATATCGATAGATTGGAACAAGGTCAACTTGACCGTCTACGACACCTGTCACTGTGACAGTTATTAATTTTCACAGTTTTGACGTAAGAAAAGTCAAAAGTTGATGTCGTCCGATCGCGACCAAATTTGGTGGGTAGGCTATGTGAGCGACGGTGCATACCATGTGCACACGATCCCACCCTGCAAATTTGCAGGGTGGGATCTTTATCAGGGTGGGACTAAGGATTTGATATTTAAGAAAAATGTGGGTCGATTTCGGCATAATTGGGGACGGGCTACAGGATGACGCCCTCGACGTTTGAAACCGAGGCCTATAAATGGACGAAATCATCAGGATTTTTCTTAATTATGGGTCTAATGCAACCAAACTCGACACGTGGATAGAGGTATACGAATGGAGTTCTCAGACGGACAGAATGACAGACGGACAGGCGGACATACAGAAGTAAACTCTTCTCTTACTGGGCAGACTTTCTCTCTGTCCAGTAAGAGAAGATATAATTTCGACAGATGATAAAGTACAATTTTATTATTTCCAAATGGCAGAGAATTAATATCACACTGTCATATTTCTCTCATTGAATGGACTGTAATTATCTAAGAAGGTGTATTTAGAATTACGAAGTTGTAAAATTTTCTTTTAAAATTTATATAACGTTGAGTAAAATATTATATTTTTTTCAGACGCAAGCGGGACAAATTAAGAAGGATAAAACGAGCGAGACGCTGATCAACAAATAAATAAAATATTATACAGTAAGTAGTTTTTTAAGCTAGTACATACCTAATTGTAAATAAAATTATATTTTTAGTAAATTTAGCTAATAATTTGGTAGCTATTTACAGTTCAATATAAAAAATAGTATATTGTTATATTAGGAGTAAAAATGACACTTAGGAGCAAAAATGACACAAAAAGTAATTTTACTCCGAATATAGAACATGGTATTTTTTTCAAACACTACAAATAATTTTTTAAACAGAAATAAGTGCAAGTGTTTTAACTGGTAGTGTAGTTCAACCCCAGAAAAACGCCTATGAGGTTTTTTTCGCGAAAAAAAAATTTTGAAATTCGGAATTTTTTGAAAATTTTTTTGGAAATTTTTTAAATAAAAAAAATAATTCCTTGATAATATGGCAACATAGGTAGTAGATTCAATTTACAAGAAAGAGAATCCAGAAAAGATCCAGTGGTTCTCAAAATTTTAGCAAAAAATTATTTTTTTTTTGGAAATTTTCAGAATAAAATAACTCCGTTATTTTGGACTTATTTGAAAAACGATAAAGAGAAAATATGTTTCTTTTATCGAGATATACCACCCCTTAAAATACTTGCACTAATTTCTGGGACACCCTGTATATCTAGAAACTATGGTTACGCTCCTTGAATTTGAGACTTTATGTCAGTGTAATAATATATTTTCGTATTTTTATGCTTAGGCGTAAAAGTGCTTTACTTTTATGCCTAGGCGTGACCTTTTTAGATTGTTTTATATTGTCAATTACGTCGCAAAAATTAATACTTTTGTGACGTTTGAAAAAAAAATATATGCAAAAAATGCATTTTGTCATAATGTGAATATTAAAAAATTCTTTCCTCTTATAAAAACGATCCCAGGGCGTACTGTAGACTGTAGATATCTAAAAAAAGTAGAATAGAGTTTTCAAGATACGATTCTAATCAATCTATATCTAAAAAGACACAATTGCTTTTATAATGTTGAAAAAAGACACAAATGATTTTTGAATTGACACATTGTGAATATCAAGTGTTTTATGAATTCCAGACAAAAAATGTACAGAGTGTAAATAAAAATATGAAAATAACAGTAAAAAATAGGACGTTAAATATTTTCTTTTATATTTATATTTATATAATTATCCAAAAAGAATTATTAATTGCATTTTAATTTATTTTTTATCTTAAATCGATTTTCGCTGAAACAGTATTGAAATTCAAGGCAAGGGAAACCTCGAAATATTTTAAATATTTACTGTAAATACTACCTTAATAAATTAGTAATTTTCCTTTAGCAGAAATAATTAGAATATTACTGATTCTTTCAACAATTTTACATGGGTAGAAAAATATACGTAGGTATAGAATTTCACGCTTTTTCTTATTGTTAACAGTTATACATGCCAAACTTTCTAAAGATATAAACTTGATATTTGATAGTGTGAAAGTTAAACCAGCCTCGCAACCTTTCAGCCATTTATTTAACATTCGTAAGTACTGCAATTTCTTCCGGCTGAAAAAAAATATACATACAACAGTTTGATATATTGCACATATCACACTCCAGGAACATTGGCGTAGCCAAAGTTTTACAGCTAATAAATTACCCGACCGATATATTTTATAAAAGATTTAGAATGGAATAATATCATTCTGACGTGTGCAATAATTTGATCATAAAAAATCTCAAAACGTCCCAAGTCATTGAATAAAAAATCTAAGGTAGGCATCATCTATCCATTGTTAGCAAAGGCATTAGACAAGGATGTATACTAAGCCCTATGCTCTTCAATAGACACAATCAAACTTATATGGAATCATCTATTATTTTTCATAATTTTTAAGATGTATTAAAAGACTTTATGTTTAAGAATAAAACTCAGTCCTTACCAAAGACTTTTAATGAAAAATAATCCATATAGCAATAGAAAAGAAATTAATCAGTTCCCAAAATAAACACAATTTTCCTGGATTGTTTCGACGAGCTCTAACCCTTCTTTTGAGCTGGTCCCACAAGTGTTCGATAGGATTTAGATCCGGTGAACATGCAGGCCAGCCCTATGACACCTTCCGTTTTAAGACATTCTCTAGCCACTCTGCTGGTATGGGGAGGTGCATTATTGTGCATGAAATTAAAATTATCGTTAATTGCAGCTCTTCAAAGCCTAACGATTGGTTCTAGCACTAAATCAACATACTTCCGACCCGTTAAAGTTTGTTGAAGTGGTAACAAAGGAGTTTTTGCTCCCAGCATAATACCTCCCCCGAACATTACAGTTCCTCCTTTATATTTTGGTACAGATTTGGCAGCCTGGAACCTCACTCGTCTTCCTGGAGCTCTGAGAACCCGAATTCGATGGTCTTACTCCAATTCTGGTCTCATCCCAAAAAAGAACATTTTGCCAATTCTCAATTGTCCAGTTTTGATACTGAAGGCACCAATTTAACCGGTCAATTTTATTTTGCCGAGATAACTGTGGGACCCGTAACTCCCTCCCTCGATCACTAAGCCTTTTTCTTATGGTTTCAACTGAAACGTTCACACCTGTAGCTGCCAGAAATTGTCTTTGTGGCTCTGGATGAGAAACATTGGGATTTCTTCTAACAATATGTCACACAAAGCAGTCTTGTTGTTCAGTTGTGACTCTATGACAACTTTATCTGGACCTGTTCTTAAGAGTTCCTAATTCCAAGTACCTTGCATATGTTCTCGATACAACGCCCTGGGTAACGCCTACTATCTCTACTACGTCTCTTTGGGGCATTCCTTGTTTGGTGAGAGCAATACTATATACTACTGAACGCAAAATTCAAAAGAAAATAAATCGGAGCAGTTGTTTATTCTTTATTATCATGTTTATTTACAACAAAAAGCCTTATCTTAAAGTATACCAACTTTTTTCCTCTGCTAAAAGTTTAGTCAGAAATAAAGAGAGATTCCATATAAGTTTGGTTGTGTGTATATATGGTGAATGGACAATGAGGCGTGCCTTAGAGAAATGGAAAGGAGGAATAACGATCAGCGGTGTCAAAATTAACAACCTGCGGTATGCTGATGACACCTACGCTCATTGCTGTGGATGAAAACAAACTTCAACAACTTATACAAATTGTAAAGGAAAAAGATAATAATAACTGACCGACAAAACCAAAACCAAAACAGACCAAATACAAGGAAGATCAATAACATCGGTAGGGTAAACCCGTACATATCTTGTCTCTCTAATCACGAATCAGGGTGGATGTAGTGAAGATATTAAAAGAAGATCCGCACTAGCTAAGCAAGCTATGATAAAGCTCACAAAGATATGGAAAAGTCATCGTATCACGCTTAACATCGAAATAAGACTCGTCAGAAGTTTGGTATTTTTTGTATTCCTCTACGTAGCTGGACGCTAAAGCAATCGGATAAGAAGAAAATAGATGCACTCGAGATGTACTGCTGGCTTCGTATGCTAAGGGTTTCTTGGACTGAGAGAAGAACTAATATATCAATCCTTCAAACAGATTAGGATAAAGAATAGCACTATTGTCGAAGGAAACATTGCTGGTGTTTTTTGGTCACATAGTCAGACGTGATGGGTTTGAAAAACTGACGCTGGAGGGCATGGTGCAAGGAAAGAGGAGCAGTGGAAAATCGCCAACAAGATACACAGATCCGATAACACAGCTTACTGAAATCGAGATCGAGATGCTTGAAATCAAGCTGCTGACTAAAACTTGATTTTCCTGCATCCTTTATCCGTTCATACGATGGTCGGACGGCGCCGGCGCTCTGATTCGCGTCTTAGCGGTTTCGCGCCTCTTTTCATCCGTAATTTTTTTACTCCAGCTCGTCAACGGAGAAATATCGCACGATAACGGACGTTTTGACACTTTTTTAAGAAGTTTAATCCAACCTTAATAAAAATATAGGACACAAGAGCTAGCACCGTCGCGTCGTGTCGGGAAAACGAGAATTTTAAGAAAGCTGGTTCTTTGATATATCTTTTGCGATGCTCTCCTTACCAAAGTGCGGGCCGTCTGGCTGTCGGTAGACTACTGCAGTTCGCTACTGCGCATCACATCTCTATAGGGTATCCTATTTTTGTGTGTTTTATGGGATTTCTCGTTTATGAGTAGAGATACAATGATGCGATTTTCACATTACTTTGCTATTTTTTACTAAGATGTTCTAGAATAGTTGTTCTAGAATAATTTTTTTTGCTTCTGACGACGGCAGGAGATATACCTTCTGAAACGTTAAGCATTTTTTGTCGTTTTGGCAAATTTGTTTTATTAGCGAAGAACCACTGACAATCTGTCTCCCGTTTGTAGACTTGTAGATTTCTTTTCCCATGACCAAATATCCCAACGTCTTTCAAGAAACAATATAGGTACCAAAGGTTTATTTTTATTATAAAATCTGACACTTCCCATTATTCTTAATATTACAAATCTTTAAATAGACATATAACTCCAGGCTAATTACAATGACAGCTGCCTTTCACGCCTCGTATATATGATTACGTTTTAATTATTCTTGCGAGTATGAAGTGTCAGTAACATTTACGCCCAACAAGTCTATTAAGATCATCTCGTAACCGGTACTCGAGAGTTCGGTTACGACATATTAATTACATCAATTTAATGTGTAACGTGTCGTAAAAAGAAAGTAAAACGCTCAGATCGTTTTAATGATGGTTTAGCTAAGCCAAGTTCAAACTTTTACTTTCGTCCGGTTCCGCTTTTGTCCATGATTAATGGATAAGGACGAGTTGCGGCAAAACAAGTAATATTAAAAAGTAATGCACGCGTTCTGGGTTTAAATCTATAATCTAGATGCTTCCTGTAATTTAAAGAAAACAGTATACTATAAAAATACTCAACGTTTCTTTGAATGCGGTAGCACTGAAACTAAAAGTATTTCGAATAGGAAATGCAAATTTACCGACATTTCAATTTACCGATATTCGGTGATATAAAACATGGATTTACCGGTTTACCGGTATTTTTCCTTATCAGAACTAGCATATAA